TTTTTTTTTTTCCAACGATAACAAATACTCATAATCACTAAAAAAATAGTTCAAGTACAAACCGACGAGCAAACTAGCTCGAAAATACACAACCGAAACAAACCAAAGGAGATCCACTCCGACGGTGGACTACTAAACACAAACCAAACATAAACCGAAACACCCAACCAACAACATAGAAGAAACAATCGGGGCCACTGAACCTAAGAACCTAGCCCCGACAACCAAACCACACACTAAACAGAAAAAACTCAAACAAAAGACAAACACAATCTACAAATTACAACAATTAAATTCAGACCACTCCTTCAAAGCATTTCTCGCAATCACCGGCTCCGGCATCCATACCTTTTGAAAAACCCATAAGTTACGCGACTTCCAAAGCCACCACAAAATATACGTCGACAATTGTATCCTGGCTTCAGAAGTAGGTGTCTGCTTTAGTTCTGCAATGCTCCACCACCAATATTTGAATTTATCAACAGGTATAGAAGCAGAATCCCAACTGACAGGCACTAAACTCCACACCATAGCTGCTCTAGAACAAGTAAACATCACATGCTCTACAGTTTCCACACTTTCACCACAACACTGGCAGACATTATCCAGTTGCATCCCTCTAATTCTCAGATTAGCACTAACAGGTAAACAATCAGTAAAACATCTCCAAATAAAGTGCTGTATCTTACCTTTCACCCTCAGATTCCAACACCTCATTCTAGCCTTCTTATCAGCATTAATATTAGAACTACACCCTGGCATATCAAGACTCAAGATCTTCTTCTTCACTGCTACTGCATAAGCTGAAGAAACAGAAAACATACCTTTAACATCAGATGTCCACACCCATTTGTCTCTTGCAGCAGGATCCAAACCTTTAATTTCAAGGATGGCTTTACATGATGCTTCAGTAAATAGATTTTGAATCAATTCTCTATTCCAAGCTCTGCCATCACCTGTCATCAGCTCATTCACCCAAACACAAGGCAATGAATTCACCTCCGTTTTCAGAACCGGTTTCCCTGCATTTAAACCCTTCACCCAAGGATAAGACAAGATTCTAGTATTCAGGCCATCCTTTACTTCCCTTCTGAAACCCTCCCTGTACAGGTTCAAAACTTTCACCCAAGAATTCCAAAGCCAAGATGCAGAGCTATGTTTTTTAGCCTCCAGCACACACCCAGAAGGGAAGTATTTATCTCTAAGCACTCTAGTCATCAAAGTGTTAGGCTTGGTTAATAATCTCCAGATTTGCTTAATAATTAAGGAATCATTAAACAACCTGACATCTTTAAACCCCAGCCCACCTGCCTCTTTTGGAATAGTAATTTTTTTCCAAGCCACCCAAAATAGCCCTCTCTTCTGATCAGTACCCCCAACCCACCAAAACTCAGCATTCATTCTTGCAATATCTTGACATATACTCACAGGCAAGCAAAAGCATGACATGACAAAAACAGGAAGAGCATTTATAATAGAAGTCATCATTACCTCCTTCCCAGCCTTGGACAGAAATTTGTTAGTCCAGCTATTAATTCTCTTCTTCACAGCATCCAGAACAAACTGAAACACCTCTTTCTTAGACCTCCCCAATCCCATTGGTAATCCCAAATATCTAGTTGAGGAACACACTGAAATCCCATTGAGAGTCTGACAGACAGCTTGCTTCATCAGATCACTAGTGTTTCTACTAAAAAACACATTAGACTTGAAAAGATTCACCCTTTGCCCAGAAAAACTCTGATAAACTGTAAGAATTCTCAACAAGCTTAATGCATTTGAAATATCAGCAGCACAAAACACCAATGTGTCATCAGCAAACAATAGATGAGATAAAGTGATTCCACCTCTAGAAATTTTCAGACCCTGAATATCCTCCTCCCTCACTGCATTTCTAATTAACTGGGAAAACACCTCAGAGATTATAATGAAAAGATAAGGGGACAAAGGGTCCCCCTGTCTTCTACCCCTTGATGGAGTAACAAAACCAGACACCCTTCCATTAACATTAAAAGAATACACTGCAGTTGAGAGACAAGCAAAAATCCACTGCACAAAAGTTCTATGAAAACCCATTTGAAGCATTGTCTTCACCACACAGTTCCACTCCACCCGGTCATATGCTTTCATCATATCAAGCTTTACTGCCATAAAACATTTATTACCAGACCTATGTCTATTGAGAAAATGAATAACTTCATGAGCAATTACCACATTGTCAAGGAGTTGTCTGTCAGGGATGAATGCAGATTGTGTTTCATGAATGCAGAATTTCAGACACTCTCTCAATCTACTAGCCAACACTTTAGCCACTATCTTGTAAGAAACACAGCAGAGACTAATTGGTCTAAAATGATTAATAGAAACTGGATTATCAACTTTAGGAATCAGAGTCACCACAGTGTGGTTCCAACTAGTAATCATTCTCCCAGAATCAAAAAAGAACAATACTGCATTACATATATCTTCCTTCAACAAAGGCCAGAAATGCTGATAAAAAAGAGGGGTCATGCCATCATTACCTGGAGCCTTGTTTGGATTCATGGAGAATAGGGCAGCCTTCACTTCTTCTTCCTCCACAGGGGCTATTAAAGCCTCATTCATAGCAGCTGTAATTGATTGAGGAATTAATGATAACACTTCAGCCTCTCCCCAAGATCCCTCAGGTTCAAACAACTTCTGGTAAAAATCAGTGATAGCTAACTCAATCTGCTCCTGAGAATCCACCACTCTATTCTGATCCACCACCAATCTTTCAATTGCATTCCTCTTTCTCCTCTGTAAAGTCATAGCATGGTAAAATTTAGTGTTTCTGTCCCCTTCTCTCAACCATTGCAGTCTAGCCTTTTGACTCCAAAACAATTCCTCCTCCAGATGAGATTGGTCCAATTCCTGTTTGATCTTCTCCCACTCTTCCTAATTCCTCTGCCCCCCTAACTCCCTCATCTCCTCCAATTTTAATGTCAGAGCCTCAATTTTCTTCACATTTTCTGATTGAAATACCTTCTTCCATTTGATAATAGCCATCCTGGTTTTCTTGATCTTCTCTCTAACTTGCACCATTGGATTTCCATCCACTTCTTCACTCCAAGCTTTCTCAACTTCCTCAGCACACCCTTCTCTCTTCACCCACCTTTTATAAAAAACAAACCTCCTGAAGAATTTAGGTTCTTGGATGCCAGTGTCCATAATCAACATAGAGTGATCAGATGCACTCTTGAATTGAGAAAGAACTTTAGCACCTGAATAATAAGAAACCCAAGCAAAAGATCCAAAAACTCTATCTAACTTCTCCTCCACAAACCCTTCCCCCTGCCTGTTATTACCCCAAGTAAAAGGATATCCTTCCATATTAAGCTCCATCATTCCCATATTAGCACTGAAAGCATTAAAACTGTCGAAACTCCTCTCAGATCTAATCCTCCCTCCTCTCTTCTCACTACTACCTCTAATAGCATTCCAATCACCCCCAATACACCATTTATCACCCCAAACTCCCTTATCCCTCTCCAATTCCCTCCATTGCAGCTCTCTTGTTTGACTGTCTGTACTCCCATATACAAAGATCATCCATTCCGGGTTCCCCATCAGCTTAGTCTTGAACTTCACTTGAATACAGAAGCTATGCTTAACTACTTGCATCACCTCCACATCTCTATTCCACATCAACATAAGACCTCCACTTAAACCCAAAGGCTCTACTATAACTCTCCTATCAGCAAATCCCAATTTCTTAGAAACTGTCTCCATGAAAAATTTTGTTTTCCTAGTCTCAGATAAAAACACAAAACTAGGGAGGTGGGCCTTAATGGCTTCCTTTATCTGGGAAACTGTAGAGGGCCCTCCCAGACCTCTACAGTTCCACAAGATTATCTTCATTTATCCATTTGGGGCCACTCAAGGCTGGCTACCCCCACCTGATCTTCATTGGCATTAGTCACAGCTGTACACACCCTTTTAGCTTGCTCCTCATTACCTGGTTCCATGGTTTGGTCAAAACATTGCCTCTGTCTTTTCCCCTGTCCCTGTGCTGGCACAATCTCCATAGGGCTATCTGTTCTCTTAAGTCTTCCCCTTGATTGCCCTTTCCTTTTCCACATTGTAGGAGCTTTGACCCCAATCTGAAGTTTAGAACTTTTCCCAATTGACTCTCCTTTGGATACTGCTTGCTCACCCTCTGTTATTTCAACCACCACTTCCTTCCCATTCTTCTTTGCACTTCCTCTATCCTCCACCACCACATTCCTCCTACTCCCACTATCATGTTCACTGAATTGATGAACCTCCCTTTCCTCCCTCCTGTTCACTACCTCAGTCATCTCAATCAAAGCTACATTTAAATGACTCCCCTCTCCCATCACATTCCCCTTTGGATTTCTAACTGGTGGGGATGGGTCCCCTTGCCTCTGCATATTGCTCTGCCCATTAGAAGTATGAGATGGATTAGATGTTGTGGATGACCCCATATTCCTCCCTATATCCACTGCTTTCATCCACTCCCCAAACTGCCCTTCCATCACATTCCCCTCCTCAATATGCCTCAGCCTAGTCTTGCAATCCCTCTCCAGGTGTCCCACCAACCCGCAGTAAAAACACAAACTAACAAGTTTTTCATACTGAAACATCACATTCAGATGTTGATTCCCCAGTTTAATTTTAGTACAATGAGGTAGAGCCTCAGCAATATCATGTGAAACCAACAGCCTAAGCATACTGCCCTTAATTCCCCCTTCCTTCACAATGACCACATTTTTCACCTTCTTAAATAACTTCCCTATTTTCAACCCAACTTCTGTACTTAGCCAATGAAGAGGAAGTTTTTGTACCTGAACCCAGAGAGTAATTTCCTTGATTCCTTCATCTTGTTCATCCAGATCTTCTCTCCACTCTTGCAGCACCAGGTACTGATTCTCAAACACCCAATTTACCCCCGCCATCACCTTCTCCTTATCTGCCTGGCAACCAAATATAAATTGGAAAAAATTTGGTCCCAATTCTTTAACTTCAAGAGGTTGTGCCGTCTGCCAGACAATACCCATTGTTCGCCGGATCCCAAACTTACTTGCTTTCCTATCCCCAATTATCTTTCCTAACAGACTGCGTTTACATTCTTCAGCACACCGCCTTATATCATCATCTTCCAATTCTACTCCCCGATCCTCTTTCGCTGATAAATTTAGGTTAACCAGTCTTTCCCCCAAATCTTCTGCCATAGAGAACTCGTGCACCACTAAAACACACACACACACAGCTGTATACGCACCCGCTCACACTGAAATCACTAAGAAGGAATTTGAAAATCCACTCTTCCTTAAGAGAATTAACTCTCCGACGAGAGAATAGTTCATNTTTCATGAATACGGTTTTTACTATTAATTAATTTTTAACAAAAATTAAAATTAAAATAAAATGTATAAAGGAAATACGTTTTTTATTATAATAAAAAATTTAAAACGTATTTACAAAATACGTGTTTTAGCAAAATATAAGTAAAAAAAATCTTCTCCTCCACCATTCTGCGCGATTCTGAAAGCGGGACTGCGAGCAAAAGAAAAAAAATCACTTCCTTGCCATTTTTATTCACCTCAAAATAAAAAAAAAAAATAAAAAAACTTTTAACAATCAATCGATTCGAAGAAGAGGTTAGTTGTTATTTTAATGTAATGCATCACTTTGACTAATTGTTTGCAATTCGAATCTCAGGGCCCAATTTTGGGCTTTTTCTGCTGACTTGGCGTTGACATGACATTTTTCTGCTGACATGCGTTCCACGTGTCAATGACATGATGTTTTTTCTGCTGACATGACATTCCAATGATGTTTTTTCTGCTGACATGACATTCCATGTGCCAATTGGATATAAAAAATTTATGCCAGCCATGAGATTCGAAACTGAGAGATTGAAGTTGCATGGTAGCTCTGCCACCACCACATCAATCCAAAATACTTGATAAATCTAATAGTGTTTTATATATTTTGACATTACATATGAATAAATCAAATTAAATTTAAAATATAATTTAAATTATATGAAATTAAATTAATAAAATATAAAATTATAATAAATTAAATTATATAAAATTAAATGAAAAAAACAATGAAAATAAATTAAGATAAAATATATTATAGTAGAATGAATTTAATTAAATTAAATTTAAATAAATTTATTTATTTACTATTTACTAAAACAAAATTAATTTTATAAATTTTAAAATATAAAATAATAATGATAAAATTAAAGTAAAAATAAACTAAATTAAAGTACATCAGTTAAAATATAATAAAAATAATATAAAAGTATAGAAAAAGGTAAAGTAAAATAAAACAGAAAAAAATAATAAATATAATAACTTACTATGAAATAATAAATTAAAACAAATAAAAATCTTAAAATGAATATAATAGAATTAAAATATTATTTATCAAATATTATAATATGATTTACTCTAATATAAAATATGAATTAAGAAAATTATATATAAATTATCATTTTTTAGTAAATGATTTTTATTAGAAATAAATAATTTTAGTTTCAAAATTTTATTTAATTTTATTTCATTGTTGATATGGGATATTATACACCTAAAGGAATAAACCGGTTCATTAGACCGACCATATGAGCTTAAGGGTGTGTTGATGACCGACTTGATTTCCCAAGGTTAATTAAGGGATCAATTATTTTATCTTTTTAATGGTCCTTTAAATTTATTTCTGGCGGCCAACTTAGTTCAACTCGGTGCAACTAAACGACGACCGACTTTGGACAACTGAAGAAATAACCGACCAATCGCCTAACTCCAAGACCGAATTCACATTAAAAACAAAGAAACCGACCTCGCAGACGTTTATACTGAAGATTATCCGTTCAAATCGAAATCCGAGGTGATTGAGTTCCAAAGCAGGAGGTGTTGTACGCTTTTAATTGGACCATCAAGTCAAAGAATAATCATTGATGTTCCCTCACAGCATTACACGCCGCTTTATTGAAGCTGCTCAACATTTAATGCAATCTGATCTACCTCGGACATAAGGACAAAAATTGCCGTACTATAAATAGCAGAATTTATGACTGTACAAGGATCTTTTTCCACACATTGTACACGAACTATAAAATTATCTCGGTTACTTACAAAACCGACTTCCTGTACTATAAAAAATCATCAATAATACAAAAAATTTACGTTTTTTCCTTTAAAAACACCTTGCTTGTATTTATTGGAGTTGTTAAATTTCGTACAACAATAGTTTGGTGCTAGAAGAAGGGCCTCATAAGTTATTTGAGGTTAATCTTCGACATACTATACAAGAAAAATACATATCCACCAAACAATCTTCTTAGCAGTCATCATGACGAATTCTGGGCGTCAAGAAAGAAATCCAGACGCTGGAACTAGTCGCAATCCTTTTCAAGCTACTGAAAATATGGCTGCACCCTCTATGACAATAGACTACTCTGTTTTGTTTCAAGATCCAGAGTTTATCAGAAATCTATCTGATTTCATGGCACAAACAATAGCAGGACCGTCTGTAACAATTCCCAATCAAACTCCTGTTCCAAATATTCCAATAAGGCAACAGACGCCACCTGTTCAGGGACAAAACAATAACACTACCGCTTCTCATGCAACTTCGCAACCGCGAACTCACACGTCACAAAGAGAGATGGCAGTTCAAGGTCACGATGAAGTTCCTATTGATAATAATCAACAGAGGGTAATCAACCTGAAATTACTGCTGAAAGTCACTCGGGACGTCGTCGTCAACAACCGGTGCCTCCGTCACCGGCGACTTTGCAACTAGCTAGACATTCCGACTTGCGTCATACTATTGAAAGAAATCGCCTTTGACACGAGTCGGTTGAGCTGGAAATGTTACGAAAAAGAATTGCCGAGTTGGAGACTCGGCAGGGGGCCCCTGGAGAATTTCACAGAAGAGTCTCCACCTTGGGTAATGTTTATCTGGAAGCTGAAACTCCATTGGCTCCTCAACTTACAATGGAACCATTATCTGGGAAAATTAAGGTTCCTCAGATCGGTCTTTATGATGGCACCTCGGATCCAGATGCACATCTCGGTCAATATACCTCATGGATGGACCTTCATGGAGCAACTGATGCACTGAGATGTCGGATGTTCTCATTAACTTTGGGACCTCGGGCTTAAAAGTGGTATCACTCTTTACCTCGTTGTTCAATTTGAAAATAGCAACAATTGAGAACGACTTTCCGATCTCATTTTATTGGGGCCCGAGTATCTTTGATCCCAAAAGAATCGATTGCCAATATCGTGTAAAAGGATAATGAAAGCGTTAAAGATTATGTTACTCAGTTTAATGAACGAGTACAGAATATGGAGCAATGCCATCTAGAAACATTGCTGATTACGGTGATAGCAGGATTAAAGCCGAACTCTCTGTTTCTTTGGAGTATCTATCAGAATAAACCAAGCTCATTTCAAGAATTTTTAGCTCGGGCTCAGCAGCATATCATTGCCGAGGAATCAATGTCGGTTCCCAATTTCGACTTCTCTTCCAATAAATCGGAGCCGAAACAGGAATCGAGAAAGAAGAAGAATAAATCTTTCGGCAATAAGCAAAATAAATCTCGGTTCAGTGGGAGTTTCAATAGTCCCGAAGTGAAGGAAGCCAGAGCAAAATATTTTAATGAAGTCAAGTCAAGTTATCAAACAGTTTTCTCGGCTGGAGCAGCAACTATATTTGAAGAATTAAAAGGGAAAGGGATTCTTCCCGATCCCCGACCTGTAAAGACTCCAGAAGATAAACTTGACAAGACAAAATACTGCTCATATCACAAGTCGGAAGGACATGATGCAGATGAATGTCTGGGTTTACTCTTTGCTTTGCTCAGACTTATTGGACACCCTCAAGTTCAACGGTTTGCCAGGAATGCTGATTACAAACAAAAAGGCAGATTACCAGAACTCCCAGACGATGATGAAGATGATGATCGCCCCAACAACCTAAAGCATATTAGGCAGGGTGACAAAGAAGTCTTTATGTTCAACTCGGAGGGGAATGAAGCTTCATCTTCAGCGAAAGCTGTAACATTAAAAAGAAGCGATTTTTCTAATCCTCCTGGTTTTCATAACGTTCCACGAGTTAACAATAGTAGTGGAAAAACGAAAGAATCACGTCAGCAAGTGAAGGCATATGTTCGGCAAGCATACAACTTGGGCAAAACTATCTTAACAATCGACATTCGAGATAAAATCAATGCTCGGAATAATTGCTCTATCACTTTCACGTGGACGATGCAAGTTATTTCGCGCACCCACATTTTGATCCACTTGTGATCACGGCGCCAATTTGCGGAATACATGTACATTGGATAATGGTTGATACAGGTACGTATTCAGGTATTATGATGCTCCAAACATTTGAACAAATGGGAATCGATCCAACCGAGCTTAAACCTTGTAAAGATCAAGTACAAGGTTTCAACGGAACAATAACACCAACTCTTGGCGAAATTACCATGCCGATTCGGTTCGGAGTTCCTGGACAAGCTTCAAAGGTTATTATGGAGAATTAAAAGTAATGGACCTCAAGAATGAATATAATGCCATCGTGGGGAGAACAACCTTGTACAAGCTTCGTGCAGCTGTCTCAATCTGTCATTATGCTTTAAAATTTCCCACGAATAACGAATAAGGAACTCATTATGGTGATCAATACGAAGCCCGAGGAATGGTATGGGTTAAACCTTGGCATGAACCCTCTTCTTTAATTCATATGGCGGAAAATGTCCAAAAGAAACCGGAAAAAGCACAACTCCTAAGAACTCGACACTTGATAACACCGAGATGGAAATGGAATATTCCGAGATGATAATAAACTCGGAAGATGCATCACAAAACGACCTAATTCAAGATTGTGGAAGACGTCTTGGGAAAGAACCTGTCAATGAAGAAGATGAACTCGATCCTCGCACTCAATTTAAAGAAAAAAGCAAAACCGACCGAGCTGAACCATCTGAAGAAATCGAAACAATCTTCATTGGTTATCCTATTTGTGATAAACCACTTCGAATTGGGGCCAATCTTCAAGAGCCTATACGAACTCAACTTATTCGGTTTCTCTGAGCAAACTCTGATGTATTTGCTTGGAAGCATGAAGATATGAAAGGTATTGACCCCAATGTGGCTTCACACTGACTTAATCTGGATCCAATGATAAAACCAGTTGTTCAAAAACGACGCAAGCTCAGTCCTGACCGATAGAAAGCTCTTGAAGAAGAAGTCAAGAAGCTTATTGACAACAAATTCATTCAAGAAACCAAATACCCGACTTGGTATCTAATCCTGTTTTGGTCAAGAAAAGTACCGGTGTGTGGCGACTCTGTATCGATTTTTCCGACATGAATAAGGCTTGCCCGAAAGACAGCTATCCCTTGACACATATCAATTACATGGTCGATGCCACGTCTGGACATGAGTTGATGAGCTTTATGGACGCGTACTCGGGTTATATGCGACACCCCGCTACTTAGGGCCAATTTTTCGCAAATTTTACTTTCGAAATTTGCTTATAAATGTTTTGAAATCGTTTGCAAACTATCTCGGGATGCTGCTAAAAACTTATCTGGTTTAAAATCCGTTTTCTTTAAACTAGGTCTATCAATTGGTTTAGACTTAAAGAAAATCAGATTAATATTTTATCGAAACAAGCATGTAAAACTGGACCCGTTCGTACTGGCGAACCAGGTAAAACTTTAGCGTCTGAAAATACTGTCATGCAAGTTCGAACGGAAATAAACGTAGCGGAAGTCTGAAAATGCGTGGTCATAATAGTTATACAAAACATATTAAACAAATGTCCCTGGAACAGCTAGCTGTGCCAAATCCACGACCACAACCACCACAACTGCCCTCACGCTTGCTCGCCGACCCTGTCATCTGAAAAATATAATGAGGGTGAGTACTGGTCCTCTTGTACTCCATAAAAACCCAGGCTAAAGTAAACAACAATAATAATAATGATATCACAGAACTGGTATGCATAAGTAAACTGAAATCTCCCGGACACTATGGCCGGTAACTGTAATCTTCCAGACACTCTGGCCAGTAACTCCCGGACACTCTGGCCGGTACCGTGTGCACACTCTGATGGTATATTTAAGGCAAACTGGGCTACCACCAGAACTTATGGAAGGCAAACTCGGCCTTGACCCCAAGCGGATAAAACTCATATACATACCTGAACATGATATCGACTATTATGCTCAATGTATAACCCAGACTGGGTCCCCACCTGGTTTGCTTTGAAAATTCATAAGTGCGGCTGTGTTGGTAGCTGACTCCTCAAGCTACATAAAAATATAAGCAAACAAATATACTAAGTAATGTGCTCGTCATATGCTCAATAATATGTTAAGATGCTCTACTCTATCAGATAACTCATCCGGATATAAAGGAACGCTCTAAGGGTTTGCTAAAATAATACTGAGTCCGGAAATTAGACTGATGTGCTTAACTAATCTGGTCTGGCTTGGAAAAATACTTAAATTTTGGAATAAAACTCGGACCGAAAATCACGAACCAAAATGGACTCGAACCGCCGGACTGAACGGTTCGCTCACTAACTGAACTGGGTCGGGCTGGACTGGACTGGGTTGGACCGTCGGGTCAATCTGGAATGGGTGGTCACGGACTGCATGGACTGGCCGGGCTCGGTCCCGCGCAGGGCCTGCTGGTGCCCTGGCGCGGCGCTAGGCACGAGCTGGGTGCGACCGGGCCTCGGTGCTGGGCGCTGACAGGCGCGGCCAGGCTTGGCTGGCACGGCCTTAGCACAACTGGGGCAACTTGGGTGCTACTGGGCACAACCGAGGTCGACTGGGCACTGGGGCGTGCGATTGGGCACTACCGAGGCTGTCTAAGGCTATGGCGTGCTAGTGGGCATGACCGGACTCGGGTATGGCGCGACTGGTGCGAACAGACACTACCCGCGTGAACTCTAG